TATACAAAGTCAGCTTATTGCCCCCACAAACTGGGTCCTCATTTAACCTACCTTAGAAAGGATGGAAGGCTGAGTCAACCTTGAGCCTGGTAAGATTCAAACCTGCAGAAATTGCAGGCAGCTGTGTTAATAACAGGGTGCATTAAACCACTGTACTACCAAGGCTCTGTACTCCAAGGTTGCAGTAACAACCTTTCCATCTTTTTCGATAATACATTTATCATTCTTAAACGTTACTGTAAACCCAACTTGCAATAATGATTTAACAGATAGTAAATTATATTTTAACCCAGGAATATATAACATAGGCAATGGTTCATTACTAAATGACCAACGTGCAACACCCTCTCCAGCTACCTTAACCTTCCAATCATTTGCTAATCTAACATGTTGGTTACTCTTATCCATTTTTACAAAGTTGTTTCTATTCTTAGTAATAGATTGAGAAGCACCACTATCAACAACCCACCAATCCTGGTTAACATTAGTTGTTGAACTGGATATAGCTAAATTACAACCTTTCTTGGGTCTAGTACTGTCCCTAACAGACATTTTCTTATTCTTACAATACTTAGCTATATGCCCTTTAGCCCACAAGCAAAACATCGTTTTACAACATAGACAGTTGAATACATTTTGTCTTCTTTTGGTTGGTTTATTCTCAACTGATCCCTTTCTTGTCTTCTTCTGGATTCTTCCAATAATCTACCAGTTACTCCAGCCAATGTGAGGTCATCTCTGGTCAAAACTTCCAGTGAAGAAACATAGTCGTCATAACTATCGTCCAAAGAAGAAAGAATTATATAAACTTGCTGTAGTTCCAAGAAAACAAGTTCCTTTTCATGCAGTCCTAGAAAATTCTGGTCATGGATTCCAAAGGAGCCATCATATCTCCTCCTTTAAGAAGATGTTGCTTAAACAATTTCCGTGTGAGATTTATATGAGCACCCACAGTGTCATGAACATATAGTCTCTTCAACTTGGTCCAACACCTAGCAGCAAACTCTTCGCCACGAATATGGACAAGTTGCTGGTCACTCAGTGTCAGTCCAATTATGCAAAGAACTTGTTCGTTGTCTCTGGCAAATTTGACTAATTTCTTTGCATCTTCATCGTCATCAGGATTCCATGTTGTTACATCCAGTGGATTAATTACTACGTCCCAAAGTCCTTCTCTATGCAGAAGTAGATTACATTTTGTAGACCAGGATACATAGTTTGTTCCATCCAGCTGGGTTATCATGGAGATATTCGATAACTGTTCTTGTGCCATCTTCACTTGGATTATATTTCACAAACACAGTTTTCTGTATTATTCACATTAACTCTCAGTTTAGCTCTGAACAATCCTAATTACTTCTGGTTGGCTCTGGGCCCATAACCAATGTTAAGGATATTGTTGTGTTACCAACCATCAGAGTAAGTGCACAGAGAAACGGTACTGAGAGCAATGAATACAATACATACAAACTGGTTTAACAAAACTTTTACATTGTAGTGAAAAAACAATTGCATAGTCATTTAGTCAATCCAAGTCTTTAGCCATTCACATCAATCTGAAGTTACAGATATCTTCTTACCATACAAACAGCAATTCAATGCTGGTAACAAATCATGATGGTAGCATATCCATCCACGTCTTCACACACGACAGTAACAGTTGCAACCAACAAGTCAAGCAGCAAGTCAAGCAATGATGAGAGCAGGTCCAACAATGACTATAGCTCGGCTTCCTTCTTATATACAGTTTACACTAATAATTATCCACTTAAGATAAGTGAAGTCAGCAGTGCAATGATTCAACAGTACAATTATGATAATTGCAGTCAGCAGTCAGTCAGCAGTCATTAGTCATTACAATGACTCAGCAGTACAATTACTCAGCATTACATTTTAGAGTTACAGAATACATTTAGTTATAGAACACATATATTGCCTGGACAACTTGTTAGACTTATACCATGTCCTAACAGAGAGGTACATAATTTGGAGAAACATCAGGGTGACATTAACCTCCCGCACTCCAAAAAAGGCTGACTTCCAAATGATATTACAAAAGCCCACAATTTATATGTGAGATAGCCCACAATTTATAATAGTTCATTTAGTGACCAAAGTTACAACAACCCTGAAAAAAGTGCCTTATAACCGTTTTTCACATCCCCATAGCCACATGATAAATATTCAGATGCTTGGCAAGTGACTTATATTTATGACAGTTTGTCGTGTCCTGGGGTTATAACAGGGCTGAAATGCTCCCGGTTTGGACCAGATCACCCGATCTGGTAGCGGTGGTGGTGGATGGTTCAGAGAACCGGTAACAAAAAATCCCTGCCCTCCCCACCCCCCAAAAAAAGTTGGCCATGCCTACTCAGTCACATTACCTCCCCCACCAAGCCACGCCAAAAAACAAATAGTAGTAGTAATAAATTTTACAATTCACCACTGGGTCATATGATCGCCTTTTGTGACCTTCTGACAAGCAGAGTAAATGGGAAAGCACATTCACTTAATAACTATTACTAAATTAGCAACTCCAGTGATTCACTTAACAACTGTGGCAAGAAAGGTAATAAAGTAGGGCAAAGCTCACTTAACAAATACCTCATTTAGCAACAGAAATTTTGAGCTCAATTGTGGTCGTAAATCAAGGACTACCTGTACTAAATTGTAACAGTGAAAATAATTCAGTATATCACAAAAGAGTGAATATTATCTGTGCCGATAAAATGAATCAAGTCCTGGTTTTAATCAATACTTCTTGGAGTGTCTCTCCCTAAAACAACCAGAGTAAATTGTATATCCCTGGTTTAGAAGATTCCATTACAGAAGTCATGCTGAGAGCAGAAAATGTTTCCAGGTATGAAGACCAGCTAGAAAATACCAAGGCATATCAAGTGAACTTGCTGAAGCTTGAAATTTCAATTCAGTTTTAGTATTTTTATAATGTACGGCATATTTTTCAAACCTACACAATCTACAATGGCAGCCAAACTTTGCTGATAGGTAACTCAATTCCTTACAAATCTTCATCTAGCCTGCTAAGGCCACTAATTAGTTGGTGTTAATTACAGCACTGCATTTCTCTCTTAACAGAAGTGTGTTAATGGAGCACACTTAACACACTTAATAACTCTCTATTTTCCAGGATAATAAATGTAGGCTCCGTCACAAGATTGAAATCCCATAGGCCAGCATGGAAAATCACTACTCATTTAACATCTATCCAGTTTAACCCCAAGAATGCCTGGAGAGAGGAATGGTCCATGGTACCTTCTTGTGGCTTGACCATTAGTGATCCCTCTATCAACCACCTGGTTTTAATCTGCTTTGCTCTCTCTGGACGAAATTGAACAGAAATAGATGTGACATTGGAAGAAGTGCCTCTGCCCTCTATCAGAGAGTATGGAAAGATTTCCTTTGTTGGAATTGTGGTGCTGATATGAAACTATTAAACATATTGTGCAAGATTGCCCATGACATGCATTCTCTGGTTCCCTAGAACGGGTGTCTCCAACTTTGGCAACTTTAAGCCTGGCAGACTTCAACTCTGTTAAATTTATTTGATCATCTTTTCCTCTTTTTTTGTACAATATGGAAAATGGTTCTGTAAGTATACAACCACCAGGCCATGTGAGGTTTCATAAGTACTTTAAGTTGCATTTGAGGATTTTTGGGCAACTGATGCAGCCTCTGCTAAGTAAATGTTATGTGACCCTAATTTATCAACAGCCCCTTTTATAATAGATGATGATATTGTGTGGGTTATTGCCAATTTCCCATTCAAGGAAGGGTCTCACTGATACATGAGCAAAAACCTGGTAAAGGACACCTTGGCATGCCCTCACCTGCCTATGTAGCATCATTGAGCATCTAAGGGGGCTCAGAGACTGTCTTGCCATTGGTCTATTACTTTGGCTGATGTTTGTCTAAGAAACTACAAATCTGAAGTCACTTCCTTCTGCCTTTCTTCTTAGGCTCACACGTATAGAGCACATGCGCTTTGACTCAGCTATCTGCTAAGTTTTGCCAATTCTATAGTATATTACCTGTAATTAAACCTTATTTTTCATATATTTATAAAACCTGTTCCATCACTCATTGTTCTGGTCAGATTCCCATTCTCGGGGACACTCACAAATGCAGAGAGATCATGTCATCTCCCAATACCCCCTGCATTCTTATATGGGGTCAATGTCCACCTCTTTTGTTCCATCCAAACACAAATAACGCACTTCTGTACCAACACTGTAACCATACTTGCCAAAACAAAAGCATGAAAAAGCAGTGTCAGTAATTGACAAGCTAATGAGTATGAAAGTACATTCAGAAAGCGTTCTATTTGTTCTCTGTGCTTCTGCACTCATTTCTATCAGATGATTTGATGGAAGCAGGCTGCCAGCATGGAATTGTATGTATCAGGACAGTGTGGGTGCCTTGATTGTCCCTGCTTGCAGACATACCAAGTGGCATTGCAAAGTCAGCTGGAAGGCTCATGGGAGTGCAATACTGATCATTACCACTTGGGCTGGGTAGGAATATTTGCTAGTTTAATTGTTGGTATTTTACAGTAGTTCTGAAAAAAGGGAAAATCAAAGTTTATTAATTTCATTTTCTGAGTTCTTTTGGTTTAATTTGGGCAGAATTTTTTTTATATAGCCTTTAGCATGGAGTCCAGGGACTCCCTGAATTCCTTACGGTGAAGCCCTACAGACCATATCGTTCTACTTCCCAATTCTACACAGCTGTAAAATGGTGTGGGGCAATCCCATCTTTCTTTTGTTGTCGCTCCTACATTAAAATTTGATGATAGTGATCCAGTTTCCTGTCATTTTGAGTTGAAAAATATTTAACAGCTATGCATTCTAAAATAGGCTTAATGTAGAAGGAAAAAAAAATCCAAATTCCCATCAAAAAGCTCCTCCTCTTGAAAGAAAATATTATTTTGCATCATTATCCCACCAGGTATCCAAAATAGTTCAATGTAATCTACAGCCATCCAAATGTTAACAGGTTTTTTTTATTTTTTTAGAAAATGGAGAACCACTGCAGCATTTTGCAGTAACTCTCATCACTCATTTTGCTCTGTAAATTTGAACAATCATTTGCTTCTCCACAGTTTTAACTTTGCAGATATAAAATTCTTTTTTATTTATTCAACGTCTTTTTAAAAATGTAAAATATAAATATAATCAACTTTGTCTCTCTCAGAACCTCTCTCCAACTCCCGGGAATAGAGTCCCATCTTGGAAAATAAGCCCTATATGTAGGATTGTAATAAAGCAAACTGAAATGCTAATAAGCAAATACATACATATATAGAGAAAGTTGAGAAAAAAATAATCAAATCCGTCGATAACGATCTGCCTCTGGACTTTCTTCTTTCATGAGACAGCCTGGCTGATACATGAGATCCACAATAAATACTTGAGGGGGAAGCAGAAGTCCAGGTATTCCCAAAGGAGAATCATCAACCAATTTCACCTCATTCCACCCTCTATTATATTCACCACGATATAAGCTGCAATTAATAGCAATTCTGTCTGCCAGAACCTATGAAAAGAAGAACAAGAATATACTTTAGTTTTGTTATGTTTGTGATTGCCATTCTGGTAGAATTACAAGATATAGGGTGGAAAAATCTGAAGGACCACTGCAACCCTAAATTTTTCATTACAGCCAAAGAGACACATCATTGATGATAATGCTTTATAATTTGGTATGCTAATGGTTAAAAGAGAAAAAGGAGAAGAAGTCAATTGAATACTATTTAATGAAGAATTATTGGGGTCAGTAAGGAGCCAAACAGCAGTTGGTTTCAGTCAATCTACACAGAAGACATATTCTCATTCCTCCTTCTGAGAATTCACTGGAAGAATGACTGCAGATGGAAAGATTATTGAGTTTATTATCCCCGCAAAACACAATGGACTTGTTTTTGACATGTTATTTTTCAAATTATATTCCTCACTGTATGATTCAGTGAAAATTACTTAGATTCTTAGTATTCTTAGTCAACAACTTGGAATCAACTGCATACAAAGTACATATATATTTAAATCTTCAAATACCTCTAATAATGGTATTATTTCTTATACATTTATCCATAAATACAAGGATTAACTTAAAAGCAATACCTCTAATGTTACAACTTGCCAACAGATAATAGTACTGATGCACAAGAAATTCTGACAGCTGTTCTTTTACTTCAGCAGGAAATTGCTGTACGAAAACTTTGTTTTACTATTGCCTCCAATTTTTCAGCATTCTGATAGCATTTATTACTTCCTTTTCATCAAACATGTATAGCATTTATTCAGTGCCATTTTTTGACATTTAGATATCTTTATCAATCTACTATCAAGCCTTACTCTATAGATTTGGTCAGTATTGTTATTTCCATATTACAGAAAACAAAGTAAGATTAAGAAAGTATGTCTAGTCTTCCCATAAATTTTTCTGACATAAAATGTGCTCCTGATTTGAGTCATAACAGTGCATACCTTTTCATGCATAGGGCTTTTTCTGTTTATTTTCAGTGTTGCATTGTATTTGCTTTGCCTACAAGTTCATTAAAGATTTTAAATGGAGCTTATAAAGCAGTGTACAGTAGAAAAATGCATATCTATTGATTGGAAATCAATACCAAGTATGAGCAAAAATAAACATATGGAAAAAATTGAATACTATAATTTGAATATTACAATACTTACTCTGAATCTGATGGAATAGTAGCATATACTCCATATTCATTAAAACTAAACATATGCAACATAGAGCAACACATTACACCAGTGGTGTCAAACTCAAGGCCCGCAGGCTGGATCTGGCTCATAGGGTGCTTAGATCTGGCCTGTGGGGCTGCCCTGGAACAGTGAAGGAGCAGCCTGCAGTACCTCTGCCATGAAAACGGAGCTCAGGGATCTCCATTTTTGCTGACAGAGGGTTGCAGGAGGCTGCCACGGCCAAAAATGGAGCCCGGGCGGGTCACACACTGTCTCATCAAGCTGTGTTTTTGCTGGCAGAGGGCAGCAGGAGCCATCATGGTTGAAAAAGGAACCTCAACAAGTGACACCAGCTGGTCATGCCCCCTGGCCATGCCCACCCACTCCAGCTCCCCAAAGTCAAACACAACAGTGATGCGGTCCTCAATGAAATTGAGTTTGACACCTCTGAGCTACAGAGTTAATTTCTTTTACCTTGAAAAGCAAAGCTCTGTGATAGAAGGTCCCTTTCTCAATCTTCCCAATAGGTACCACATTGCATTTAAGCTCATATTCAATTTCACTTATATGAAGCTCCCAGCTGAATTCATGTAGATTATCTCTTTCAATGGGACCACCCAACCTTTCTGCAACAAACCTGTTTTCAAATCAAACAAGGTAAATTAAATCTATTTTATTGTCATAATAGTTAATTGGCTAAGAAATAATTCTGCTTCTTCACAACCACTTGCATAGAGTTTATGGTGGATCCTTTCACAGCTCATAATTTATTTGTGTGCCACTTGGGCAATTATTTAATGGCAATAGATTCTAGGATAACATAAATATTGATCTGATCTAGCAAGACAATTTGATGTTCTAAAGGATAGATATCTAACCTTTTGGCTTGCCTGGGCTGCACTGAGTGAAAAGAATTGTCTTGGGCCACATTCAAAATATATAATAAATGCATATAAATCACATAATAATATTAAAAGTTTATGGACTTGTGGGGCTGCATTACTTGCTGTCTAGGGTTACACGCAACTTGTGGGCCATAGGTTGGACATGCCTGTTGTAAAGGACTCCATCCTTTGGATTTGTGAGGATAGGTTGTGGTTTCCACAACTTTGGAACAATACTCTTTATTATTTGTCTGTTCAGATTGAAATAAAGTGAAAGGATTAGATTAACAATTAATAGAAAATGTGCAACTTTTAATTTTTTGCAGGTTATCTAATATTGTTTTTGTGTTCTAATCTGTGACATCTAATCTAATCATGTATGTTTTCAGGACTTACCGTATTTTTTGGAGTATAAGACACACTTCCCCCCCCAAAAGAAGGTGAAAATCTGGGTGCATCTTATACACCAAATGTAGCCAAAAACGTGAGGCACAGAGGTGGTGGTGGTCTGTGGCAATCCCTGCAGCTTGGAACAGCTGATTGGGGGTATTCCAGGAGGCTGATCCACCTGCCAATCAGCTGCTCGTGCTGAATCAGGCTGCAATAATGTGCTGAAGCTGACCTGGCTGTTCACTATTTGCTGCAATGACATGTCAGACTTCCATCTTCTCCACCTAGCATGATTAAGGATTGGGGGCATTAGGAATTAAATGCTATCATTCAACAGCCTAAGGATGGGAAGCATCTCTTAAGCTTGCCACTATGTTTCACTGGCTCTCAGTTCTGTTTGTCCTATTTCTCACCTTTCTCATCTTGATTGTCTAAGAAGAAAAGCATGCAATTTAAACATGTACTTCTTTGTTTCAGCTATGCCAATTTAGTCACATAGAATCAGTTTCAATGCTAGTCTGGATTCTGAAGACACAATGGTAATAGTGTGTCTGGCAAATAAAATAACATTATATCCATTATAGTCTGTTGTTGTAAGTGTATGCTGAAGATTTGGTGATAGATGAAAATATTGTCTGTCTGTTAGATCATGCAAACCAAGCAGTACAGATTATTTTTTGAAATATTCCTATGTTTAATATCTAAAGGTTAATAAAATATCAGTTTATTGGGTTGGTTGGTAAGTAGCACACTTTGTTCAAATATTCCTTATTGAACCACCTATGAGAAAAAAGCTGTTTAAATGCCCTTCTTGCCCTAAATTTACTCAATCATGATTTGTATAGTTTGCTGCAGTAAAATGAGAAAGGCAGCTTTTGGCTCCAAGTGGACAGCAGAAACTGATCAGAGCTGTCAAACTGGTATTCCAAGATAGGTTGTCAATAGGCTTCTTTAATAATTAGCAAGCCTAGTTTGGCATAGCAAGACTATTCCACAAGTCAATACCTGTTAGGAGCAGAATGGATTTTAATGAAGAAAATGAAGCACAAACTGGAATCCAGAAGCTCCATGTGATCTATCAGCATTCCTTCTGCAGGCCTCATAGGCTGTCCCCTGAATATTCAGAGCCAAACATCTGAACTTTTTTTTTTTTTCATTTTTGGAATTGGAGACATTTAAAGGATAAAAAGAATCTCTCAAGCCTTGTTTAAGCTACTCAAACTACACATGGACCCCAAAATGGCAACCATAGCTATCTGATGAAAGCCTGACCATTATTTTTACCTGTCTCCTGTGTATGAGGAGCACATGTAAAAAAGAGGCAGGACTTCAACTGCATGGTCATGATTGAAGATTACCTAGCTCCTATGAATGCCTTTGGCCCAATGAGCATTGTCTACTTAGTGCTTGAGTGCAATCTTTAACACATTATGCTAAATCTGGAATGGTCCTTGAGTTGAGGGAGATTTCACACTTTGGGCCTAATATTCTGATGGATTTTTTGCCAAAGGAAGGAACACAACAGTGAGGAGAAGTGGCCAAACTTTACTCAATGATCCTTGGACGCCTGCTTTGCAAGAAAGAGGAGATGTGAACAATAGAAAGATAGAAATTTTGATACTTTTTGGGGTTGAAAGGTGGGAAATCTAAGTAAGTTAATTCATGGACAAATTTTGAGCAAGTGAGACAGATATTTAAACAAAGGGAAATGTATTTTTTAATTGCAAAGCTGCTAAGAATTCCATTATTGAGGGGATGGAATGTTGACATCATCAAGAGTGCACACTTGATTAGGATGGAATATCTGTGATTTCTCATCTCTTGCTTCCTAGATAAACTTTTTAGGTGAAGAATTAAAGACTATCTTGGCAGAACAAACATAGTCATGTTTGCATTATGCATTAGTCTGGGGATGGTCTAATTTATGTATGCAATTTGGGGCAGAGACAGCAGAGAGAAATAGGGGAAAAGTTTGCATCAGGAGTGGTAGAGGAAAGAGGGAGACAGAAAGAAGAGGCAAAGAAAAAGGTGGAATGAAATTTTGGAGAAAGGTTTGCAGCTTGATTATTTTAATTCTTCAGTCATGGTTCGATATAACCCTTTTTTCCCCTGAAACTCTTTAAATTAGGGGTGTCAAACAGGGTGCTTAAATCTGGCATACAGGGTCAGCCTGGAAATAGCAAAGGACTGGCCCACAGTGCCTCTGGCAGCCAAAATGGGGCATGGGGGGGGCGCATGCACTCCCTCCCCCCCCTAATTTGGCAGCTTGAGGCACCACGTTTTCGCCAGCAGGATGCTGCAGGAGGTGTCCATCCCATCTCCCCCTCCGGTTGGCCCATGGAGAACTACAATGCTGATCCGGCTCTCAAAGAAATCCACTTTGACACTCCTGCTTTCAATGGGTTTTATTTGCTTTACTCTTTTTATATATGAGTAAGTCACTTTGAAAATCAATTTAAATAATGTTCTATCTCAACATAGTCTATATAATTCCTACAAACTTACCCTAAATTATCTCCCAACAGATTAACAGTCATATTGTATTTGTGGAAAGTATTCAAAATAGAATAAAACGGAAATTCCAACCAGTAGACAGTCTAAATAAATTGTTTGAAAGATTCCCTTTGTATTGCTAACACATGCATTTGACATACTCACTGTGCAAGAGCTACCACTTGCTCTTTGCTGGTTGGTAGTGGCAGAATTGTTCTGGAAATCTCAGTAATATAATCATACAAGATGGGGTCAAAAGGGGGAATCCATAAAGCTTTTCCTGGGGTTTCAACTACTTTAGGTATGACTGCTTCCAACTCTTCATCTTTTGGTTTTTCTTCTTCTTTTTTCCCCTTCCCCTTCCTTTTGTAAAAAGGTAACACTGATTATTATTATTATTATTATTATTATTATTATTATTATTATTATTATTATTATTATTTATTGGATTTATATGCCGCCTTTCTCCGAAGGACTCAGGGCGGCTTATATCAAACAAAACAATCCCAATAAATACAAATTAAAACATACTAAAACAAATTAAAACCAATTTAAAACAGTAGACCCTATCAGTCCTAGCTAGGGTGTTTAAACAGGCAGGTCTTAAGCTCACGGCGGAAGGTACGAAGGTCGGGGGCCAGCCGAAGACCCATGGGAAGTTGATTCCAAAGGGTGGGTGCGGCTACAGAGAAGGCTCTACCCCTGGGTGTCGCCAGCCGACATTGTCTAGCCGACGGCACGCTGAGTAGGCCCTCTCTGTGGGAATGCACCGGGCGATGGGAAGTCGATGCTGGTTGCAGGTGGTCCGACAGATATCCTGGGCCTAAGCCATGAAGGGCTTTATAGGTTAACACCAGCACCTTGAATCTCACCCGGAGGGCAACTGGCAACCAATGCAAGTCGCGCAGGAGAGGTGTAACATGGGAGTATCGGGATCCTCCCATTACAACCCGTGCTGCTGCATTCTGAACCAGTTGAAGCCTCTGAGTGGTCTTCAAGGGCAGCCCCAGGTAGAGAGCATTGCAGTAGTCAATCCGGGACTATATTAGAAATATCTTTCTTTCTAAAGCTTTTATTTTAATCAGCATAGAAAGGACAGAGGCTCATTCAGAAAAAAGAATTATGAGATTCTTCTCCAAGGTACATAGCACAAGAAGTATTTCTGTCGTATTAGAATTTTCCAGCACTTTTCAATGATCTCTCTTCTAACTTCATGTTCAAAATAATATTTTGGGGTTTCTTCCTACATACTTTTTTTTTTTTTATAAAGAAGCAACCCCAGAGTTCCAAAAATTTTAGCTAATTGTCATAAAATATTTATATTTCCTACCATATATTTCCTACCAATCAATAGTGCAGGTGTCACTAACATGGGACAAGTCTTTTTCAATTAACTCCCATTATAATTATGATCCAGGAGTTTCTTATACTCCACATCTGGCAAGCTTTCAATGCACATATTAGAATATGCACATTTTTGTTAGAAAATTCAGGTTGAAAAAATGCCACAGATAACTTATAATACATAAAGAAATCATCCCCACTGGTAATGGTTTGTTTGGTTCTGGCAATCCTTAAGTTACCTCTATAAAGTTTTTATGGTAATGGTGGAACTGGAACCTGCATAAATTCAGTTATTTAAGGACAATAAAGCTCTAGTGAATAGAAAGAACCTTTTCTTTAAAAATCTGAAAAGACAGGAAAAAGCAAGCAAGCACGCACACAAAAAAGCAGCAAACAAAAATATAAATGCAACAAGGAGAGAATCGATAAAGCTTATTCAATGAATCAAAGGAAAGCAAGTTGCTATAAAATCATGAGCACATGGTCAATTTATATCTATGCCCATCCTGGATGTGCAATATAGCTCTGAATAAGTGCTTCTTATGATATATTATACCTGAGGCCGAAGGTCATAATTTGCAACCTTATTCTGAAATTATGACTAATGGCAACTCAGAAATAGGTCTTTTCAGCGGTAACCTTATAGCCACAAAACATCCTTCTAAAAATGTCTGCCTACTTCTTATTCTATGATTTTCTCACTAACAAATATGAATTTTTGAACATTAATTTAGACCTTTTAATTTTCTTCTGCTGCTAAAATATTCGGTGTTTTTAAACAGCATTATCTCTGTAATATTTTAGTCATTTCTTTACTGAAGTTATTTTATTATGTGTTATTTGTGTTTTTCTTAGTGTCACCCTGAGAGCTTTTACCTGCTGGGAATACAAGACCACCAATCTACTATACACTAAATGAAGTAGACTGGTATTGTAAAAATATGTTACAGTTACCCATTTAAAATATTTTGAAACAATTAATAGCTGCACATATTTCAGTGTGGTTTGGAATTGCTATGTTTAACTGAATTGAATCATCAGAGATTGCTATGCACAAGTTACCATGGCATTGGTTTTATTTAGGTGCCTTGCAGTAACTTTAAAATGTTAAAACTTTTAAGCACTTAACAAAGGGTCTGAATTCTCAGCACTATTTCTAAACAATTTGAGACCTGAAAAAAAGAGTAATATAAGAAAAATGTATATGATCTGAAGAAAACTCAGAGTATAAGAGTAATATAAGGAGGATGGACCCAGATGAATGCTATTTTTCCATGCTAGATTGTTTTGGTCACATATAATTTAATGGATACTGGATAATTTGATATTGAAAAAAAAGCTCTGAGAATATTCAGAAGTGGAACATTTCAATTACATCCTGTGACATGATGAATGTACAAGGAAATCTAAGAAAAAAGTATTGGCTGAAGCTCAGTCTGACTAACATGGATGGGCTGTTTGCTATAATTAATACTGTTTTCTAAATTCATTTATCTATTTAAGTAGAAAAGGGCTTCATATTGATATGAACAAGAAAAGGCAGAGTTGTGACGTTATACAAAAAATAACTGCCAGGCTACAAAGAGACTGTTTGAATTGTATGTTATATCTGGTAGTGGAAAGCAATACTATGCTAATCAACTTTGCTTCCTTGAGCTTGTTTTTAGAATGTAGGCCCTTGGGCCAAACTCTTTACCCTCAAGCTTGAAACAAGAATACCAATACCTTGATCCTTTCTCTCTAGAGCTTCCTTTACTGATTGAAGAAGACCGTCCTGGAGAGTCTGGTTTTTCATCCAATGAACTATCAAAATTACAAAATAATTGCCAATATCTCTTCATTTCTGTAAGGCATAGGAATTCTTAACGAACTGAGAGGAGAAGGGAAGCATTATTAAGAATCCTTGGGGGCCTTCCAAGCAAAACCAATAGGCAAAATAATTTTCTGTGGAAGAATCCTTTCCTTGCACTCCAATGGAATGCAGTACTAAAAACTTACATTCCATATTAATTTAACTTTTGCTTGCTTCCATCTTTTATAACTACTTGACTAAGCAATTAATTTTAAAATTATTTAAGTCAGTTCAGTCATATTTACAATCAGTAGGCACCTCAAAAATAGCTGCTTTTAAGGCACATTTCCATATTTTTTATCAAGTAGCACCATTATGGAAGCCAATGGAGAATTCAACAGATGAAGTTGAGCCATTTTGAATGAATCCAGTGATTGTGGTTTAAACAGATGATTTATGGTTTAATGTCTTAGGTGAAAGCAGCCAACTGTGATATATTAAATATAAACCATGGCTTCATGTAATATGTGCATTCCCACTGTTTTCTAGATTGGAATAAAATTTTTTGCATTTTCAAACATGGCTGATGGGGGAAACATACATCACCCTCAAAGGATTCATGGTGCAACTATCCTTGAGAGGTGGATATAGCCCCATAACAGTGCTTTGACAGAACACAAATTCTTCTTCCATTTTTGTGTATATGGTGGGGGGCGAGGGTGGGACTTGGATCTTTCCTAATCATCTTATCCAGACAATTGTGTCACATGAACTGCTGTGTTCTGAGATACAGAAGGATGCTTTCGGAGAAAAAGCGCAGGGGCAGAAAGGCTATTCTATTTTATTTGGAGTGTACAGTAATAAATAGATACTACATACTACTCTGTCCTCTTTGTGTCCTAGTTTGTTTCTTTTTTAGCAAAAGCAGTAGCAAAGAATATATCCTTAATTACACCAATTGTATCAAAATAAATTAGTTGACTTTTGATCACATTAAAATAAGTTTGAAGTTAATTTTTTGAGTCCTCTAAGGTAAATATCCATAAAGACCCACTGAATCTGATAGGGTATTTTCTTGGGGAAAAATTCTGCATAGGACTGAGTATAGCAAACTAGTTTGGATTCAATCCATTTAATCTTTTGGGCAATTATTAAGAAGCTGTCTACTGTACTATGCAATACCAAGCTAGCCTTATAGAGGCAAAAAAAAAAAAAAAAAGCCATTCACTAGAGATGCAGTAATAAAATATATGTACGTAAATTATTGGGTGCCTATGTGTAGAGATAGATATACACATATATACTGTATTTTTCAGAGTATAAAATGCACTTTATTTTGGGGGGAGGAAAATAAGGGGGAAGAAAATCTGCTTGAGAGGCTCTCTGTTTTTGCAGCCTCCAAAAGCTCCGTTTGCAAAGGAGCCTCTCTTTGCAACCTTTTGGAGGCTGTTTGAGAGGCTCTCTGGGAGGCTGCATTTGCAGCCTCCAAAAGGGTGGGGGCCGGCGAGTGGGCAGGGTTACATTCGGTGTATAAGATGCACCCAAATTTTCACCCTCTTTTGGGGGGGAGGAAGTGCATTTTATACTCTGAAAAATACGGTAATTTAACAATGGTAAATGTATTTCATTCCATGTTTGAATCAGGAAATATATGTGACTATTGATAATGTCACATGTATATCCTTTTAGCATATTTATATTAATATATATAAATATTGTTTTGTAAGTGTCTTAAATGATTATACAGTACAAAAGACACAAGAGCTATCTCGTTTGCAGTTGAAATCAGAGTAGTATCAAGAATCCATTGGTGTTAATGCTATGTAATATTGATCTTAGTTGCTAATTAAAACATATAAAACATGATGTGAGTTGCTAGTTCTGCTTTGATTACCACCAAGAAGGTTTTCTCTGCTTACTACCACTTATGAATTAATGAATTTTCCAGCTTCTATATGTAGATAACACTCTGGATAATTTTTTGAGTCTGGAAAATTTACTAGTGTTAATAAATAATCAGTTATTTTCTGGACATAGAATACAATATAGTACAGGTAGTCCTTGGCCTACAATCATTCATTTAGTGACCATTCAAAGTTACAATGGCACTGAAAAAAGGCACAAGACCATTTTTCAAACTTATAATGATTGAAGCATTCCCATGGTCACATGACCAAAATTTAGATGGTTGATAACCAGCATGTATTTATGACAGTTGCAGTGTTCTGGCATCAGCTGATCACCTTTTGCAATCTTTTGACAAACAAAATCAATGAGGAAGCCAGATTCATTTTTAAAAAGTGTTATTAATTGAACAACTGCGATGATTCACATCTGTGGCAAGAAAGGTTGTAAAATGGACCAAAACTCACTTAAGTCTTGCTTAGCAATGGAAATTTTGGGTTCAATTGTGGTTGTAAATCAAGGACTACCTAGATGTAGCTTTTACTAGAAATCACCATCTTGCCAGATAAAGTCAGAACAAATAGGAAATATTGCATAAACTCTTGTTTATCTATTACTTAAAGCCTCAAAAGGAGTTTCATGCAGGAACTTAGTATCATAATGGAATTTGTCTTAACCAGTGTGGCAAAATAGCTTATTACTGATGCCACAATGATTGATAGATATGAATGAAACTACATAAAGTTAAATTGGTGTCTAAAAGGTGCCACGAGATTTTTAAATTTGAGAATCTGTTTTTCACAGAAACTTCCATAGCTTTCTTATTTTAGATCATCATTCTTATTTCAAACTCTGATAAAGGAAGTAGCTTGATTTTTCTAAAAAGAAATCTAATTTATACATTTTTAAATGTACAATTCATGAAAGATAAAAGAGCAGTTACAAAAATTTAAATACTTACTTATTTCTGCTAGATTTCCTGACACTGCTGGCAGACACCCCAATTCGAGACGCTATGATCTCTTGTGGCTTTTCTTCGATTGTTATGGAAATTGCTGGGTGTTCACTGAAACAGAAAGGATGTTATCGTATCAGACATTTATTCTGCATATTGCTCAGAATAAAACATCTGAAAATTTAATTCTTTTTCAGTGCTGCTGAGTTTAGCCTAAGAAAATTCAAACAGGTTGTTTCTATAGGTATTAAATATAGCATCTTAGTTATGGAAGTTGTGACTGAGCAATGAGATTTTAGAGTGGAAAATATATATGAGATTAAGAAATAATTTGTTATTTCATTTTATGTACATAGACACAATTTCTCCCTATATATGTATATTTATGTGGTGTGAGACCAGTTTCCTTCTATCACTTCTACTTCTTTTGTGTGTACTTAAATCCTATTTTTGTATGGGTATTACCTTCTGTTGATATGGATGCTTCAACCTAATTTATGAAATTTGAGAAAATGAACATTTCTTAAGGCAAATGATTCTCCTTACACACTAGTGTTGAGTGAAACTAATAAGCTGTGTAGAGAGCTGGAAATATGAATACTGAGGATTTAATGCAGTCCAGTTTGTGCATCCTTTCCCCCTACCAGAAGATAAGATTGCTTTAAATAGCACTTACTTATATACTACTTCAGAGTGTTTTACAGCTGTCTCTAAGCGATTTACAGAATCCACATATAGCGCCCAACAATCTGGGTCCTCATTTTACCGACCTCTTAAGATGGAAGGCTGAGTCAACCTTGAGCTGGTGAGACATGAACTGCCGAACTGCTGGCAGGCAGCACGCAGCAGAATTAGCCAGCAATACTGCATTCAAACCACTGCACCACCATGGTTAGATTAATATTAATGCATATTTTAAAAAGCTGAACCTCAAAACTTTACGTTTATGAAAAGAAATATTAAAAACTCGGTATTAATGGAACTCTGCTCTTTAATGGCCTATTGAAATAGCTTTGAACAGGATTGAACTTGCTGATCAGCTATAACAGAGGTGTCAAAACTCATGGCCTGAGGGCCAGATGTGTTACATGCTGGCCACCCCCACCCCCATTTTAGCGAAGGGGGGGAAGTTTCAATACATCATGTGATGACAACTTGTTACGGGTTTGACACCCCTGAGCTATAAAGTTTCTTGTGTGAACTCATTAGCTCTCCACCCACCACTTGAAAGAGATGTTGTAAGATTAATGTGATTTACTATAAACACTGCCTTTAGAATAAGGAATAAATACAGACATGTAAATCTCTTAGTGGAAAGAGAAGGTTATTTGGAGCAAGACATTCCAGAATATTTCATGAACAATGGAAAACCTTTGCCTGAAACCTTGGAGAATTGGATTGGCTGGCTTTGGATGAAGTCAATTATTAAGTCTCTATAATAATCTTATTAGTAGACTCACAGTTCTGATAGTTTAGCATTTATTAAAATTATAGCACGATGATCATTAAGCTCCTGAGCACAGAGTTCCTCCAGTGACAATAGTTTTTCACCAGGTTTCACCTATAAGAAAATTTCAATAAGGTATATGATATAAATTGCCATCTCTAGAAAGTTTACAAACGTTATTGGGAATTCTTGCTAATACTATATTAGTAGTATTAATATTAATTTAGTGTTAAGCACATAAGAATAATGTTCATGAATAAAATGCCTGAAATGAAATTCAGCTTCATTTTAGCATATGAAGATTTACAGTTATATTCAAACTAAGATTTTTGATTTAAACAAGCTTATTAGTTTATTAAAGAAACAATCAAACAAATAAAACAAGTTTATTATTGGTTTATTTGGCATCTGACAAGATGTTGTTTTAAATCACAATGTTTTACATAACAAATATCTATTCAAGCCAGTTTTTAAGTTTCTTTTAAATGATCAATTTTATTATTGTACATCATAATAAAACAGATATTACAGTATTAAGCTTTTTGAACTTTTTAACTTGAACTATTTGCATGAATAGCATTTAATTATTAAAAAACCCTGTTAAAATATTTATTATTTTACTGTTGTTCCTGTTTTGAATGATCTTTTGTTCCTTTAGACATGTTACAAAATTAGTATTTTTATAAACATCAGCAATAAAATATACACTGATGATTGTATGGATTCAAACTCATGTTCATCTTTCAGCAAAAAAATAAAAACACCATATTATATGATCAAATTATAAAATAAGCAATAGTAATAAAATTATTTCTGAAGTTTTTTAATCTTTAAAAAATAAAGTAACATATACATTAATATTTTTAAAAATCCAACTGAGAAAAGTGTAACAAAGTAAAGTATTAAAAAGCTTCTTTGTATATATACTTATAGTTAAGACAAGAGCAAATAAACCTCAGTCCTATTTATACTTGTGATAATAAATGTTTAGCATTTATCCTCACATGACCCAGATAGTGGGAAGCGCAGTGCATTTTCGTAAATGTGAAGTCTTTTCTTGCTGTGATCTCTTATGTACTGGTGATGTTAACTAATGATCTTTGTTTGATATGCAGCAGTTCTATAAAGACTCTTAATGTATACTTAAAGCAAGTTTACCTGTCCATAGTCATAGAATCCATCCAAAATTATGTTAGTTGATGCTAAAAAACCCATTTGACTATATTTTTGTGGAAGATTGTGATCAAGTATCTTTTCCAATGCTGCTTCACTGAAGTTATTTTTGCGACCAATAGAGAGGTTAATTTCATCAAGAATATCTAAAGCACTTTAGCAAAGAAACAAAAGAAAAGAAAAAAATTACCAAAAATATTGTTCCAATTCATTACAATATTTCTCCTATTATACTGTAATCTTTTACAAACAATTTATACAGTACTGAAATACATCTGATTTCACAACTGTATCGACCAGCCTTCTCTAGTTCTCTGGAGACCATTCTCACAAAATAAAACAGATAGGACAAGAGACGAGTAAATTTATATGATAGTAAAAGTAGTCAAAAGATACCAAATCACAAAACCAACAGTCTTGTGTAAAATATCAAAATTTTGCTCATATTCCAAAAGTTCTCATTGAACTTGCATTAGATATCCTAATCTCAGGATATTTGGAAATATTTTATTGGGGATACCAACTGGAAGTAAGGCAAGCTCACTGGTTCTGTCAGTGCTGTTTATGATCTATGTGTAAGTCTAATACATGACTAATCCCTTTTTGCCATTATCTAATTCTCTCCAACAATATTTACTTGGATTTAAGCAATTGAACCTTCATCCCCAGCTTACATCCCTTAAACTGATGCTATCCTGATGTATTGGTCCACAATTTTTATTACTTTACTGAACATAGCCAAGCACAATCATGTGCCACAAGGATTCATTATTTATATGATACCTACAAAAGAGTGTTTATTAGTGTGTTCCAATTATCCTATAATAAAACAGATGAAATACAAAATCTAACAATACAAAAATTAAAAGGCCAACATGACTGAAGTAAAGATACAAAAAGGCAGCATTAAAAATATAGTTATAATAAATAACAATAAATTTTAAAATAAAAAACATACTTTATATTATGAAAAACACACCCTCAGGCACAAAACTATCATCAGGCTTCTTTCAGAGAAGGGACTGTGTTAAAAATGAAGGTGTGACTGTTGTGGGATGAGTGATGAAATGGAATATCTGATGCAACATGTTGTGCCTAAATATGGATACACTATAATACAACTTGGAGACAAGATGGATGTAAGTCAGCATTAAAACAAAGATCAGATCCTACCACCATTGACACTACTACTTTGGCATCTCAACTCACCCCAGCCTGGTCATTTCAGCTGCTGTTAATTCATCACTTGCACAAACCATAACAGCCCAACATGCATTTCTTCGGACTTCATCATTCTTAGAATGCAGAAGCTTAACAAGAGGTTCAAGTCCACCAGAATTTCGTAACTGAAAGACAACATTTGTTTGTTTGTTTGTTAAAATTTATTTATTAAGTCTTGCTATGGGACTACTCAACAATAACAAAACAATAAAATTTGAAAAAAATGATAAAAATGTAAATATAACAATAGCAAAGAAAAAAATAAACAATGGAGGTGCAATAATATGAAATTAAAAGAAGATGGGTGGAGTGGGAGCAGGAAGTGTAGGGGAGAGATGGGATCAGCTTATTAGTCCAGCAGCCACCTCCAGTGATGCTATGCTCCTTTATTGGGTCCCCGGGCCAATCAGCAGAGCCAGGTCTTCAGGCCCTTTAGAAGAAAGGAAGGGAGGGGCAAACTTCAACCTGGGGGACAGGATGTCCCAGAGGCTTGGTGCTACAGCAGAGAAAGTTCTTCGCCTGTATCCTGTTAGAGTTCCTTGACTGACAAGATACTCAGCAGGCCTCCTCTGCTAGTACAATAGGACAGGCTTGTTATATATAAATATCAGTAGGTTGGCAAGGACTGCACTCAACCTAAGGAGCAAAATTGCTGCCAAGAATACTTACTCAATTAGGACTGGATAATTAAGGCTATACTTATAGTGAAATAGCACTAGAGATTTCCTTTCTAGCCAAGGTAAGGTAAATCCTCCAAAGAGAAATAGAAGGACTTGGCTTTTTCCACAAGGACTAAGATAGGTTTGAAGTACCTACTAATGAGACCGAATGTTATAAAATTATTTGGTCTCAACCACAATTGAGATTGGCAATTTTATTTTATTAAGCAAAGCAGTCACCAAGTGAAACTGTGACTGAGTTTATGACCTTGATTTAGCTTTCCTTTGTTTTGCCCGCAAAGGTCATAATGTTACTTTTTTATCACCATGGTATCTATGAATGGTCACTGCCCAAGTAGTCACTAACCTACCTGTAAATCAACAAAATGGCTAGAATGCTGGCAACTGCTGAAGCTGCTAATTACTGGACTTTCCTACTTCCTGCTATTGCTCTCCCTTACTGATTCCTATTCACTTTCTATTTCTGAACAAGCAGCGAAAGAACTGATGGATGTAGCTGTTAACTTTCAAAAAAGTGGTGCAGAAACATTATACCTTGAGAGAGAAGCATGTGAATGGGTAACATCAGAAAGAAAGAGGTAACTGGCTGTCCTGTGGAAGGAAGTCTAACAAGAATGTATTGCAGTAAAATAGTGCCTTTCCTACAATCTGAAACCTCATCTATCCACCAATAAGAAATGATATTGAAGCTTTTTCAAATTAGTTAGACACAATTTGTAATAACAAATTTGCATGCTTATTGAGAAGCAGATGGATCTGTGAGTAAATATATCAACTAGAACATAGCAATTGCATTAGATGTTAACCAATTTTAAAATTAAAAATTATAAATTTTGTGTTTAGAGAGCTAACAAGGTTGCCCTATTGCCAATCCCGGAGGTCAAATATATGCAAATAGCCTTAAACTGACTAGTAGCATTGAATTTCAGAGTAAGGTTTCTCTTTATATTACTTGACAGGGCTGTGCACAGCATTCAAAGAGGGTGTTTTGCAAAGGAGGTTGTGTGGGGAAAAATATCTCTCCTTAAAATCTTAAAGCAGCCATGTCTGTAGCTGGTTTGCATTGCTGGCAATCTCAGTAGAAGTACTGTCTGTGCATCCATACACATGAATAGACAGCTGGAGAATAGCTTTGAAGCAGCCCTCAGGCTTCCAAGCAAAGCAGCCAACCAAAAATTTTCGTTGTACAATAAGCTTTACAAAATGCATCTTCAAAATGCTTTCCACAATCCTATGATTTTATCACAATTCTAAATGGAAAGCCTGATGTCTGGGTATTTTTTTACATGGAAAATATGAACTTTATAACAAAATAATTATGTGCTTTGTGTTGATTACACCCATCATTTTTTTCACCATGAAGTATAACAAGGATAAAATTTCTCCTTAGGATTTATATATACTATATAGCTAAACGAAAGCTGATCTTACTTAGATACTTTTTTCTGTTTCACAATTCAATTTCTAACCTGCTTGCCTTTTGAAATTTTTCAAATCTGGCTGAGAAGCCAAAAGGTAACTAGCATGAATATAAGCATTGTAAATTGTTTATTGAAACTGACAATTTTACACAACCAGGTATTAGAGATCCAATATTAGAGAACCAAAACTTTGACCTTTACCTAGAAATACAGTAAAATATGCTGATCCAAGAAAGCTGTGTGATATGAAAAATGCCAGGATTTGTTTTTCCTAATATAGAGGACAGACATATGCCTTACCTCAGTTCTGGCCTCAGTATCACAGCCCATAGCAGCCACAGCAAGAGCTGCTCTGCTCTGCACAATACTGTTAGTGGAATTCAGTGGTTCTACAATGGCAGTCATAAAACCATGGCTTTGGATGGTGAGACGTAATGGCTCCTGCATGGCTAAGTTTGTGAGAACAGAGGCAGCACTAGCCACGGCACCATCTCTTTTACAGCTCAGAACACTAATTAGCGGTTCGATGGCTTCAGCTTCAGCAACAGCACTAGGAAATGGGAAAGGAAATAACCGCAAAGTTATATTACTCTTCCCCAGGCGACTTATGGTAATTAAATCGTGCATAGTGAAAAGACAACAATAAAATGTCAATAAAACTAAAACATTTTCAATGAAAATATAAGAAAAAATAATGAAACTTCCAAACTCCGTTAGTTAAAACATTCAGCCCCAGTAGTATTAAAATCTGATTCAATTACAATTAAATCCAGACTTGAAAGATGATATCTCATTCAGAGAAAGGCTTGAGAATATGAATAGGTCTTGAGGACTGTTAGTAAATGGCTATTTGTCTAACTAGTTGGTCAGGCAATATATAAACCAACAATGTATGTTTGCAGTCAGAAAGGTATTATATTGCTTTAAGACTGTATTGCATCATCCTGTATCCTGATTGGCTAAGCTCTGTAGCTAATGTACTTAAGGGAAGTCTGAATCATGGCTTGTGTGGATACTACACCATTTTACCTACTTATTTGCTGTAACTCTCTACCTGATCTCTCTGCATGATCACTGTTTGATCATAGCTACATGTTGCTTTCTACTATTTATTGAATGTTTTGATATTGAACTTGTTCCTGTTTTGAAACTCAGGAAGAACTGTTTTATTGTGTATGACTACAACTGGTAAGAAGACTTTGTACTTGAAATATCCCTGGATTGATCTTTTAACTCTCGTCTTATCTGTGTATGACTTGGATTGTTTTTGGACTTTCCTTTACTTTATTCTAAAAGTAAATGACTACCACAACTCAGTGTATTTGTATGTTAACTGTGATTGTTCACAACCATTCCCAGTCGCTTTTCATGCGTATACTCAAAGGGTACTCTGCTCAATAACCCACAACATCGGTTATGAGCCAAGAATATCTTTAGTTCTTCAATCGTCAGTTCTTCAATCTGACATGGTGGCAGCCCCTTTCCTATAAATTCAACTGTCTGCTAAGCACAATGAAATCTGGCTTTCCAACTTTCTATTCACTTACTTTTTGCATTCTAATCTTAATATTGATCCAATGTTTCATTGTATAGTGTTATCCACAATACATGCAATGAAGTGGATTCCATTACAAAACCTATTTATTTGCATATATTTTATGCCACATATTCTCAGAATTGGTTTCACTGAGTTTGATGTGATTTATATTTTCTGTACAATAAACTGAATTGAATACAGCCAGATCTACAATCTAGTGAAGCAGTTTAGTCAAAATCTCAAAGTGGAAATTTTCTATGAAAGACTCAATTAAATAAAGTACAGAAGCAAATATAATTGTGAACATAAGAATTCTTTTATATAATCCAATGAACTAGTAACTTTTAATATCCTAATAGAATTTTCTTTCTTAGATTATAGAGAGACCAAGAACAAAAAATACCGGTACCTAAATAAATTTTTTATCACAAAGTCAGTTTTTAGGCTTCGGCAAGGCAACTTCCTTGATTTCATCTATTTAAGCAATAGAAATTTAAAATAAGCAGGAAGTAGCAAATGTCCCTCACTCCAATCCAGGCAAAGATTTTTTTTTTAAGTGTTATGTCTATTTTAAGTGGAAAATATTTTTCAGATTGAATGTTGATAATAGTAACTAATTTATGATAGAAATTAACTGATAGCCATAGGGTTTCAGGAGCCATATGTTGATACACTAATCTTAAGCAATGTTTTATATATGTTAATACTGTCTTTACTGTCAATTAATCTTAGTAGAAGTAGAAGTCCTATATACATCTATGTGGAGATTTCAGGAAGTAAACACTGTACAAATTCTGCATGTGTGAGCACAGACCTTCCTATTAAGTTGCCAATATCTGTGTCCCATGCAATGAAATTTCCTAATTTAAAGCCCAATTTAATTACCTGAAAATGTAGTTTAGGGTTAGGATTTAAGACATTTTTTCCATGAGACCCTTTTGTAATCCCACACATGGGACTTACTGTATTCTGGTGAGCTCAGCAGGAGCTTTCTTCTTGCACAAAGAAATGTTTCTGATATTTCTAACAGGTATTAATAAATTCTATAGGCTGTCACTAGGGGTCACTGTTATGTCATATTAAGAATCTAAGTATTACTCTATTGAAGGATAATTATGAGAAAAGGTTCCAATGAAACATTTATAAATTAGGCAAATAATATAGAAAAATGTCAAGTTATTTGCATAAATATTATTCCATGTAAATTCCTAAGTGTTATTATTGAAAGTGTGTAGTAATATTTAATATTAGTGTGTTTCAACAATAAAGATATCCATAATGTGCTTCTTTGTTTGTTTATTTGGATCTTGGTTTTATTATTTTTTTTGAATAATTCAAGGTGGTGAACATATCCAATACATCTTCTTATACACATACTTTATATTACCGAGATTACCAACACATATTTGTGGCATAGAGAGAAGATCTGAAATTGTTCTTTGAAGATTGCATTTGGAAACTATACTTACAACACTACTAAAAACTTCCAGTTATATTTGTGATCTTTCCAGTGAGCAGAAATACCTGCTCTTTGAATGTAGTGTCGCTTGGGGAGCATTCCAGCTATGAAATCCAGCAGTTTCTGATAGGTTCTGGAGAACCGGTAGCGGAAATTTTGAGTAGTTCGGAGAACTGGCATATACCACCTCTGGCTGGCCCCAGAGTGGGGAGGGAATGGAGATTTTGCAATATCCTTTCCCTGCCACGCCCACCAAGCTACACCATGCCCACCAAGCCACGCCCACAGAAACAGTAGTAAAAAAAAATGGATTTCACTACTGGAGCATTCCAACTGTTTTTCTTTTGTTTTGGTTCAAGAAAATTAAATTGAAGCGCAGGTGGAAGTGGAGGTGGAGGTGGAGGTGGAGGTGGAGAAGGAGAAGGAGAAGGAGAAGGAGAAATAGTGGTTTTATCCAATCTAAACACCACCTAAACTTCATTCCTCATGAGGAATAACAATTTGTCAGACCATTTTATGCTTCTGATAATCTGATATCCTAAATCAATTGTCTTTGCAAACAACTACAGATTTCCAAGAAATTATAGCAAATATGAAGTTTCCAACTGTTGCATAATTATTCCTCTAATCTTCTTCGTTTAACAGCTGTTTACACTGGCAAGAAGCTTTAGCTAATACAAGATTGATAAGGCAACTACATCTTACATTTAGCAGCTTATGTCTGATGTGTATTCTATAGCTGTAGAAATGAATAGATCAATTATCTCAAATAACATGTTTTCAGGAGGAAATTGTACAATGGCCAATAGATGGCAGTAAAGCTATAAATTAGATACCAAGCCATGAAGAAAATGTTTGCCCACTTAATCACTGATCAAGAACCTACTTTGAATACCACGCATGATTTTGATTATTTCCTAATTCGATTGTTAGGAAATGGCCTATCACTGGCTCTCTCTTTGCTAATATTCAGAAAAACAGCTAAGGCAATGCATAGAAAATAACATTTGCTGGGTTACTATTATCTTCGGTATGTTTATTTTTATTTCTATTTTTATTGTTAATTTTACAGTTGGTTTTAAGTTGGTTTATTTGCTTTACTTTTTAGCTGTTCTGACAGACTGCTGTTTTTATTGCTCTTGCTTTATTTTATTGGCTGCTTTGACTTTGTGAGTTACCCAGAATGTTTGGATGGAATTGATAATAAATACTTTATCAAATACAATAAACAAGACATTGAATGAACTTTAATTCCTCCCATCTCCCCACCTCTATCAGAGTTGTTGAACAGGTCACAGGAGTTGCCAATGAAACATATTATTAGGTTCAATCATTTAAGATTTACAAGTAATATCAATAAGGAAATTACATTTTACTTAGCTGGGTAATATGTTGGTAATAAGCAAGATTGGGCTTGGTTAATGTTTGAAGGTGGCCACTAGGGAATTCCAGGTCTGTATTCTATTCTGGAAAGCCAAAGAAGAAATCAGAAGACAGCAGTGGCAAGCCACTTCCATTCTGCTGCCACAAAAACTATATAAATAGGTTTATAACAGCACCTGTTATAAAGCTGAGTGCAACTCAGAAATCTTTATTTTTAAAGTAAAGAATGGATTGCTTGGTTGATTGACTGATTTGGAGTGCTTTTATAACTCTTTGCTCATTCTTATACTTAGCAACACATTTCCAAATGAAAAATGAATCATTTTACATTTAATGCACTAAATGATCATAAAATAATTCTGGCCTCAAGAGTTTGGGTAAAATTACTGTCAGCATGTTAGCTGACAAATTAAAAAAGTTAATCACATTAACTTGCTTTTGCCTCTGTGGTAGAGCAGTTTTTAAAATTAAAAATTGGCATCTACAAATTATGCTAGATATGGAAAGAAAAATGGCTTTACCACAATTTCATACCGTTTTAGATCATGGAGCATATACATGTAGAATGTTCTAGATTTAAAATGATAAAATATTCCTCAAATCAAGATTCTAGTAATTAGTGATTTTCAGGGAAGAAATTATAGACTGATGGCGGCTCTGTAAAAAGCGGAGTTGATGAATGCGGTGGAATAAAGGCCCATCAAGTAGACTAAATATTTGATGATTCCTTTCCAGACAAGGAGAGGATTCAAGATTATCAACAAGTGTTCCAGACAGCTACTCCTCACTAAGAGATAGCAATCTCCAGCTGGTTAGAGGAAATAACCATCTTGCTCAAAGCACATCAAAGTCTTTGAAAGAATAATAAGTTAGCATACTTCCTTTTCTAATCATTTTTGGAAATTGCTTTGCCAACTGTTCTACAGATGTACAAGTCATTGGACTGAAAGTTTTATAGCTCCAATTGAATTTTCTTCAATCCTTAGTGTAATAAAGTTTAACTACAAGTTTAAGAACTTTTTTTGGTCAAAAGATAGATTAAAACGTTGATTTTAGAAAGTTATAAACAACTAATGGTCCAGATAAACTTGAAATAAGATTTTTGGAATTAATTATAAAGAACCCTTCTCATTTGAATTTTTTGGGGAAAAAACAGATTTTAAAAATTGGACATTAAAGAGAACTAAATATTACAACTAAAGGAGAACCCTCAAATTTTATTTTCAGTGAATGAAGCAAAATGTTTTAATATATTGAAGGAAATTTTTGAACACTGGACCCAGAAACTAATTTTAAGGATCCTCTATTAATAAGTAGACTGTGTTTAAAAGGTGTCAAGAAGAATGTTTTATCTGACAGGATTGAAACTAAATGGATTTTAAAATTACAGGTTACAAGAATGATGTGGAAAAAGATGATTCATTGGACACACAAAAGAAATGGGCTAATATCATTAAAAGGGATATACAAACAGCAAACTAAGACAGTATTCTATAATGGATTTACAAAAGAGGTTTGTTAAAGTTTTGAATAGTTTTGTGAGAAGAAACAAAGAAAATATGAAAAGAAATAAAGTTCTAAGTTATTATTTGAAGGGACTGAAGACTAAGAATGTTAGATGTAAGAGGAAGGAATATAACAGTAGCTTATTTGATCAGGGTGCTGACATCAGGATTGTTTTATGATTTATAGATAAAGATAGGATATGGAAATATTTGTTGTTATTTTAAAAAAGGTGATAACTTACTAAATTATTTATGCTTGTGATGTAGGGGGAAAGTTACTTTTCTATTTCTTTTCTTTTACTATATTTATTTTATTTTTCCTTCATTTCATTTTTTCCTTTTTTCTTTCTTTTTTGCACCTTCTTTTTTTTATAATTTTATTCCTTTAGTTTCTATTAGTTTTTATTGTTGTAATTCTAATCTTTAATAAAATTACTATATAAAAATATTTTAGTAATTAGCAATCACTGGAGCTAAGCACCAAATTTATTCTTTTCTCAAATGAGATTACAAAAGAAAAAGAAACTACATGGATTCACTGTCTAGAGAATAGCTTTCATAAGTGAATCCTCAAAAGTTGTATCAATCATGTTTACAATAATTTCTAACTGTAAGGAAGAGAAGAGCAATTCTAGAAAGTCTGGGCCCTGGAGGCACAAGGCTAGTTGAAAAGCTGGCCACAACTGAATTATAAGAAAGGATTATCAGAGAATATCTATTTCATTTTTCCAGAGAATGGATGAGTAGATAATGTCTACACAAAATGAATAATATTTAAACTAGTTATTCAATGTGTTAAGTTAATGTCAGTAGCTATTAGAATTGAGTGAATAATTTGTGACATAAAATGTACTGAATACATTAAGGCTGTATGAGCCAGTAGCCTTTTCCATTTTATTTACCATTTGCAAAAGTCTAAGAAGTCTTTTGCAAATTTGACTACCTTATATCCTTTAAAAGTTTGATTACTTGCTCATTTGACTGTAGTATTGTAATATTGTAAATTGAAGAAAAAAATATCTCCATATCTGTATATGTGAATCCACACACTGACCTGTTTTCATTATGTTTCCTGCTTGAGCCCATAAATATATGCCAATAACAGCAAGATAAAGCAATGTATCTAAAAGAAATTAGGTTGTCCAATCTATAGTTATTTGTTTTCTTATAATATTGTCCAATTGCCAGTCAAAAATTCTGATTACATTTAATCAATCAAAAGAATCTTAAAATTTCCCTTATTTTCATTTCAAATAGAATAGTGAAATAGGTCACAAAGTGTAATTAGAGAAGCTTCAAATTTTTGAAAAAACAACTAAGCTAGGATTGAACCTAATTTCTTAAGTGCATTTTACAAAGATAAATTTACAGAAGTATATTCATCATATATAACACTGATAGGTTCCTAATAAAATTCAGTCTATGTAATAAATATCTGCACTACAGCCAAATTTCCTTGATGACAGAAGATATTAATATCATTTTTTTTCCTTAGGCAAATATTAGATATTTTGTTTTCAGTGAGCTGGATCCACTTCTATTTAGCAAATATTCTTAACCGCATGCTCTTTAATGCCCTTTGATGAATCTAAACTGTATTGGATTAGACTGTTGACATTTAAAATTTGGTTAGCGTTAAAACAATATCTATACATATTCATGGCTGTTATAGAATAGGGAGATTCCAAAGTAACCCATCTTCAACAAAATGTAAACATTTCTAGGGAATCCCTTTTTTTATTTTTGTGCTTAGCTTTTCAAACTTTCCAAATATACAAGTCTGCAAATTTTCATGAGAAAAACATCCCCAGACACAAACTAAAATCGTAATACCAATTAATTATAGTTATATTTTATTAATACACTAATAATAAAAAACAAGCATGCAGTCATGCTTAATTAAATGGCGCAGAGATGACGTGAAATGAAATAAAAGTCTCAAAGCACTGTGCCAAATTTCCTATCAATTGTATAAACTAGAAAAATGGAAAAATATATTTCCTGATTAAAGTGTCTAACCATCCTCTATTCATGTTGATCTTACCTTACATTGGCAGGATGGGCGGTTGTTAGATTAACCAGAGCTGTAGCAGCAGCTTCCTTTACCTCTTCATTTTCGCTGCTTAGCAACTGAACGAGCTGGGGAATTCCTAAGAGAGGAGAAATGTATATAGGCAGTTTTAAATTAACTATGGAAACATTGTAAATTGGTAAATATTTTCTTCTGGATTATAATTCCATTGTCACCATAACTATTTACCTAGAGCTCCAGTGGTTTGTTTACTAGCTAAATTCTCACACATAGCAGAGATGGCTTGAGAAGCAGCTATTTTGGTTCCTTCGTTATCCGTTCCCAAAAGAGTGATAAGACATTTTTCAACTTCTTGTTCATTCAGGATTTTTCTGTTTTCGGCTGTTTATAAAGAAAAACAATGTTATCATAGATACCAACCTTTGGTTAAATAAGATGGTACATGGGTAGAAAGAAAGCAAATATCCATTTCTATGCAGATATTGTTGCCAGCAAATATTAACATTACTATATTAAACTGTTAAAGTATCAGCCTTTAAACAGATTCAAGCATGGTGAAGACTGCAGAAACAAAGTAATCTTTATTAGAAAGAAACCTATATTTCTAATCAGAAGCTTTAAGAAGTGGGTTTGTAATATTAAAGAGTATGTCCACTTTAAACAAAACATGCATCTGTAGCCCTCAGATCTATTCTCACTAGGTTACAATGCTTCCACTCAATTAGTGCTAATAGGAGCCATGTGTATGGAAATTAAAAGGTCATTCTTCCAGTAGAGATACTGTGTATTTGACAGTTGCAGTGCTAATCAAATTAATGCACAGGCTAGATACAATGGAAGAGTGGTTAAAAAAGTGTTTTATTCCTCTTTCTCAGATCCCTTTACTCTCCATGCAAGTCCAGACTAACAGAAAGAAATAAAAAGGTTGTTAATGTGCACTGTTCCATCACCTGATGCTAAGCATTTATGTGAATATAGTATACTTTGACATTATTGTACTGGTGTATTCTTCTTGATGTATTTAATGTAGTCAAACTCAATTCTGTACTCACTCAGGATCAGAATGAGTGGGTTTGCCACCCACAATTCTTTCTAAAGTGATGAATAAATTGCAAAGATTGCCTGCTCCCTATCCCACCCATATCATATACTATTAGAATGTGGAAAATTCAATGCTACCGTTAATGTTATGTATTCTAGCTAATACCTAGAAAGGCGTTATGGCTTTTAACTTAGTTTGTGAAGAATGGGAAACATAACCTAAAAAATATTCTAGAATGCAAGTTATTATGAGAAATGCAGATTTTTCTATATCAATACTGCTTCATTTAATTTGAGCATACAAATATCCTGAAGCATTATCTCCTTTTCTTCCGAGAAGTGACTGAAAATTAAAGTTTAGCTTTAACATTTTAAAATAAAAATGTAACTATCATATATTATTAATTGTACTTCCAATTCATTGCTAAATCAAAATAAAAACCATAATTGTTAAATGAAATAAATATTTACTGCATTTAATATATTTAAGCTATAGGAAGAATACTTTTTGTGTAAAATAATTATCCAATTGATTCTAATGGCATTATTTCATTTTCAAAATATAGTATGGACAAGTAGCTCTTAAAATCTTTTTATCATGACTGAAATGTTATTTTGGTGAGAAAGACACAAAACAGGCCATTATTGGTGGTAAGTACACTTTGGAGTCTTTTAAATTATTGATACATTGTTTTAATTAATAGTTCAAGTGAATTCTCAGGACATCTCAATGGTTTTGTTCTCATTTGTTCCTTTATTACTTAACCTTTGATGGCATATCTCAAATTTCTCTGTCCCTCCCCAGGGCAGTCTTTAATGGATGCTTGTGGGGACATACTAACTTGATAGTTTGGCAATATGAACCAATAGATTAATTCTGGAATGGAAAAAAATGGCATTCTTAAAAGAAATCTTATCTTTAGTTTAAAATATTTATTTCATATATTATAATAAGAAATCAATATATTTTTCATTAGATGCCTATCTACTTCATGTGCTTAGATAATTTTATTTCTATGCAGCTTAATAGGGAATTTTGTGGGTGTTTGTTTTACGTAAGACTATTGAACAAAAGAAAGCAGAAATAAGGTTTGCCACAGCAGCCATATTCAACAGCAAGCATGCTAGAGAGGGCATTAATTGGGATTACAGATTGGCTTGACTCATAATGGACTTTGCCTCTGGCTTGATGCTTGCCAAATTTGTGTGTAATCCCTAGAAGTGGTCTCTAGAGGATTCTCCATTCTTCAATCATTTGATTTTGATATAGCAAGTTAAACTGCACATTTCTTGGTATCTGGAACAAAAGTACATATTATATTCTTGTTTTTCTTGTACAGAATAGTCATGATAAAAGGATATTTGAAATATTCATTGCTTTGATTCTGAAATTTGAACAAAAGGAAATAAGTTGAACCTTTCCCGAGCTTAATAAAATAAGCTAAGCTAATAGGATTAAAAGAAAATTAAAACCACAGAAAAACTAAAAAAAATTAGTGACATTAAAATGATAGCACAATATTGTTTCCATGGAACAAGACTGAAATTCTCCCAAAGATTACATCCAGTTGAATATAGAATGAACTATTTATCAAATTAGTAAAACTTGCTGGATACCACTTAGTAAAAGTAATACTAATACTAACAATTGCTATAGTATGATAATAACAATATAGGATGACAATTACCCTTCAATGCATAACAAATAAAAATGGATACTTGTTTAATAGTTTGTTCAATATATAGCCAAAAGCACTCTGAATTAATTCAAATTCATTCTCAGAGTAATTAATTTATCCTCATATTAAGAATTACTGCCTGAAGGCTTCTATTGTTTTTTACATTATTACTGATTATATTCTGGCCTGATAAAATAAACCCTGATTCTCCAAAGTATTGTCTGTGGTTGTTAATAGGGGGTTATGATAAAAGTCAAGATAGTGGCTTTGATCATAGAGCTGTAACCATCATTTCTTGGTTCCCCCATGATGCCTACTGAGCTTTAGGTTTCAACTGATTTTATTTTTAGATTATTTTAACTAAATACTATACTATAAAAGTACCTGAAACATTTACTTTGAGGAGGTAAACAGCAGCCTACAAAGTTAGGAGAACGGGGAGCTATCTCATCCTTTTCGCCTTCTACTAAATCAGTGTATTTATTTTAGTGGCCATGCACACTATGGTAGCCATTTTATAAAATCGTCATAACATTGCTGACTGAAAATGGTTGGAGACTGCATTAAATGGTGTAATAGTATATGCCTAAACAAGAAGGCAAACTGAGGTTCAGAAATCAGCTCCCTAGTTATTCTTCTCCACAGAAAGAACAAGAAAACTCCAATTGTTTAAATAAGCCAATTTCATTTAGTATTATCTAAAGATGGAATATTTAAAACAGAACAGCTTTTCTTAAAACCCATTCTTTGCTTTGTGCAACTGTCAGATTTCTCAGAATGTGAGACCAAGTCCTCTTGACTGCATGAATAGAAGGCATCCAGTAGGCTTTACAACAGCAGCATCGTCTTGCTTGTTCACAAAACACCTGAGATCCAAGGTCTGAACGAGGCCTCAACACTTTTCTTTTGCTGTGACTCCTGGAGCCTTCTTCTACCACAACCATTGAAAACTGACAGTATATTCCTTCCATTTTGAGGGAGGAAATACATGATAACTGTAGAATAAGTCCTAAAATAGACCTAACATAGTAGAGAAAACCAAAATCCTCCCTAAGTATCTGCATCTATATAACATCAATGGGCCTGCTTGTTTTGCATCCATATAACCTCTATAACCTGAATGAAGACTCTCTATAACCTGAATGAAGACTTTACAAAACCACTTGAAATCCAGAAGGGAACAAGACAGGGGTGTCCTTTATCTTCTTTATTATTTATTCTACTGTTGGAATGTTAAATAGAGATATTAGACCAGATAACAGAGCAAAAGGACTACAAATAAAAGTGCATAATTACAAATTACATGCATTTGCTGACAATTTGGTATTGATTGTGCAAGACTCGTTAGAGAACATTGAATATGTTACAAGGAAGATTAAAATTTTTGGAGAAATGGGAGGTTTAAGAATAAATAAAGACAACAGTACTGATTAAGAACATAAAGGTGGAAGATCAGAAGAAACTGGAATTTAGAATTGTCTTTGAAGTCATGAAAAAGGTATAGTACTTGGGGGTGACTATTACTGAAAAAAATTCTAAGCTTTATTACAGTAAAATATGGAAGGAGATAAAATTGGATTTAAATAGATCCAAAAATTAGATTTGTCATAAATGGGAAGAATTTCACTAATTAAAATGAATATACTACCTAGAATGTTATTTCTGTTTCAGACTGTACTGATATTGGTTAGCGATTCTACTTTCAAACAGTGGCAGAAAGATATATCTAAATTTATTTTGCAAAATAAAACAACAACAATTAAATATAAACTGCTACAAGATTCTAAAGATAGAGGAGGTCTGGTTTGTCAGATCTTAGATTATATTATGATGCTAGTTGTCTGGTATGTTTAAAAGATTGGATAACTTTTAAAAAATTCAAGGCTGTTAAACCTCAAAGATTTTGATTTGAGATTTAGGTGGCATGCCTATCTTTGATATGACAAAGTAAAAGTTAATCCTGGCTTTCAGATTCATGTTATTAGGCATTGCACTTGTATGGTGGAAGTATAAAAGATGATTAGCTGATAAGGTGCCACTTTGGCTATCACCTCATGAAGTACTACATAGAACAGAGATGATTTTGGAATGTAAATGGATGACATATCGAGACTTATTGATATTTGAAAAAGAGGGATTTAAGATAAAGACAAAAGAACGAGTAAATGAAGGATTTGCTTGTGATTGGTTTAATTATTATAGAATTTTTGAAAGATTTAAACTTGTTAAAAAATTGTTTTCACAGGAACTAAATCTGAATTGGATGTTAATTTATATTCTGGAGTTGACCATTTGATTTCTAAAGTATATAAAATACTACTCAAGATGAATCTAGAAGATGAATATATTAGACTAGAGACTAAGACTAGATCATAAAATGGGCAAATATTTTTGGGTATAATGCTAGATAAATGGGAGAATGCATGGATGAAGGAAGTAAAATTTACATTAAATTATAGTGTAAAAGAAAACTTTTATAAAATGATATATCATTGGTACTTGTCCCCCGATTGACTAGCGAAAATGTATAAAGGGATTTCTAAAAAGTGCTGGAAATGTAGTCAAAATCCAGGTTTATTTTATCATATGTCTTGCAAATATATAAAAACATACTGGATAAACATAACAATGACAATGCAAAAATATTTAAGATACAAATAT